TGATTACCAGTCTCATCATGGGGAATACTACATCCAGCTGCCCAGCCACTCAACCAGGCCCAGCCAAGTTGACACACAAACTGAACTACCACACTCACCCAGCACGTGTGGTGGACCCGAGTTGTCGCTGCTCATGCTGAAATTTTACAACCTGAATTTTGCAATTCCTGGGGTGGGGAAAGGCTGTAACCCTGGATATGGTGCAGGAGTTTACAGTGTGCTGCCCATCACCAGGGAAGGATTCCCACTCTAGGGACACCGCTTGCAGACTGGCCATCCACAGGCTACTGTCACCCTGCAGTATACTTTCTAGATGCAGTTTTTTAATTATTATTATTATTTTTATTGTGATTTGGGTGAAAGTTTACAGAGCAGCTCATTTTCCATACAGAAGTTCATACACATTTTGTCTCATGACATTGACTGCAATTCCCTACAATGCAACAGCTCTCTTCCCACTTCCTCCCTGTAGTTACCTCTTCCCTATGTCCTTCTTTCCTATGCCTTCCTGCCCTTCTATTCTGGATTGATCGATCTAAGGAGTGTATCTACCTGATGTAAATGTTCACCCCATATGCTTCTCTGTTGTTTGGCTCAAAGCTACGGGAGTGAGTTCAATTGCAGACCTGAAGGGTAACTAGAAGCCATAGTCTTGGGGGGTCTCACCAGACTCTTATCAGACCAGTAAACCTGGTTTGTTTTTTTTTATGATTTTGAGTTTTGTTCCATATTGTCCTCCCACTCTATTCAGAATCTTCTGCACTGATCCCTTTTCCAATGGTTGACAGTGGTAGCTGGGCACCATCTAGTGCTTCTGGTCTCATGATCATATAGGCTGAGGTTCACACAGTCTACTAGTCCCCTGGACTAATGGTTCCCACACATCTTTGGTTTTCTTCATTCTTGTTTGCTCTGGAGGAAGAGAGACCAATTGTCACGTCTAGATGGCTGCTTGCAAGCTTTTAATAACCCAGTCACTATTCACCAAAGTAGGATGTGGAATAATGTTTTTGTGTAGTATTATGCCAGTTGAGCTTGATGTCCCCCCTGACCATGTTTCCAAGCCCACAGGTCCAACAACTCATTGCATCGTGGTGGTTGACTGTGCCTAAGAAGTTACTGTAACTTTGTCCCGTTAGCTCTGGTTGTGTGGACATTCTTACAGCACATACAATACGTATGCAGAAACATCATCTACCAACCTTACATATGGTCATGGGTATATTCTTTTTTCCCAGCATTTTTTTAAAATGGCAATTATACACAAAACTGTCTTCAACAGTCAGATCAGGCAGCACTGGGCCCACATTACCACCACATGGTGACAGTTGGCTGGGTACCCCTTCATTTGGGACATTCAAAGGTCAGTTTGTCAGTGCCATACCAGTGTTACCTGCCTAGTGGCTGTCGGCATCTGAGTTTGAGACCCCCTGATCCAGCTGATGAGATGGACACAGACTTGAGTGTTTATTATTCAAGACATTGTGCCGTGAATGACACAGTCCAGTGGGTCTCAGCTTGGGGACATGTGGCAATGTCTGGAAACATTTTTGGTTGTCACGCCTTGGGGGAGGGGTGCTCCAGGCATCTCAGATAGAGCACAAGCATGCTGCTAAACATCCCACAGCACACAGGACAGAGCCCACAGCAAGGAGTGACCCAGCCCCAGATGTTAGTGGGATTGAGCTGTTTGCACAATCCAGGAACTCCTAAACTGGTGTGGAAGGGAGGAGTCATTGCCATTGGGCAGGCTGAAGAATGGCTGCCTAGAGAGAGGAGGTCTTGGTGGTGGGCAGGACTTGATGACTTAGTAAGGTGTCAACTGGGAGAGATGAGGTGGGGGGGGGCATGTCAGGCAGAGAACAGAAATGCATCTTGGATGGGGAGAGGTGGACCATAGAGTGGCCAGGGTGATGGTATCTATGGCTCAAGGAACGTCGTTTTGATCAGACAGACCTGGGTTTGAGTCTAGGTCTGACCACTCACCAGCCACGTGATCTCAGGCTGGTCACTGGCCGGAAACTTAGTTTCCTCATCTGTAAAATGGGGATAACAGATGAGGTTATGAAGGTACAGCCGCTCGGTCCCAGTCTGCCACTTGCACTCTGCATCCTGGCCAGCCTCAAGTACTGGCGGTTTGCTGCACGCTTCCAGCCCTCTCTCTCCTCTGGCCGGTGCACCAGCAGTGTCTGCCCTCCTCCTGGAATGCTCGCACGCGTGGACTGTACCATCCAGAGGATGTAAACCGGGAGGCAATATGTTCAGACTTGTGTTTGGGAAAGAGCAGTCTGCCAGCAACAGGGTGGGGCTTGGGTGGGGTGGGGCAGATTTGGTGGCCAAGAGAAGGCAAGGAATTCCCAGGCTCAGACAAGAGGCCCCAGCACACCCTCCCCCCACCACCATTCCTGCTGCCTACAGATGCCTTGGGGAGGAGTTGGCTCCTCTCTGGGGTAACGTCCCTGCTCCCTCATCAGCCCAGGAGCCTGGTAAGTCTACAGCTCTGGGCTGAAGGGTACAGGCCAGCACCCCACAGAGGCTGCTTCCAGAGGGGCCATGGGCAAGCCACCTAGCATCGACAAGCCTGTTTCCTCACCAGTGCCTTTACAGGGTTTAGGGCTCCCAAGGCCTGGCTCAGTGTCTTCACCTTTGGGTGCGTCAGGAAAATCACGCTCTCATTGATACCCTGTGCACATTGCGGAAAGCCCCGAGAGGACAGAGTCTAGCCCAGACTTTAAGGGCTGCCTGCTTTAGGAACCGAGTTTAAGACCCCTGGTCCAAACTCTGGTCACGGACATCCTGTTTTTTAAGGAGCAATTTCATTTCTAGAATTTTATCTGAAAGATGTGCACAAAGATTTAGCTCTAAGTAGGTTCACAGTGGCGATATTTATAAAGTGAGAAACTGGAAACAGCTTTAATCTCCAAGTGTTGCTGTTGTTGTTGTTATGTGCCATCAAGTTGTCGAGTCGGCCCCGACTCATAGCGACCCCTCCTTGGGTTTCCGAGGCAGTATCACTACAGAAGTAGGATTGCCCAACCTTCCTTCCGAGGAGTGGCTGGTGGGTTTGAACCGCCAGCCTTCTGGTTAGCAGTCAAGTGCTTTAGCCACTATGCTACCAGAGCTCCTAATATCCAAGTGTAGGATTGCTTAAATATGCAGTGGGACAGATGGGATCTTATGCAGGCACTCAGGGAAGCAGAGGGGGTTTGTGCCTATGGAAAGGGGCTCATGTTAAGGCAGGTTACAAAGCAGTGTTATCATGTTAAAAGCATATACCCAAATAAAACCTGGTAGCCTAATACTCTCAAATAGTAAGGGTGGTTAAACTCTGAGCCATTTTTACACTTTTTCTTCCACTTCTATTTTCGAAAATTTCCTTTTTGAAAATTTCCATGAGTTCCTTTTGTGCATTTCTTTATAAGAAGCCCTCATGGCACAGTGGTTAAGCACTTAGATGTGGACCAAAGGGTCTATGGGTCAAAACCACCAGCTAGCTATGCAGGAGAAAGATGAGGCAGTCTGCTTCTGTAAAGATTAGTCTAGGAAACTCCATTGGGCAGTGGGAATTGACTTCACAGCAATAGGTTATTTCTTTCGTGGAAAATACAGTAATATATTTTATTCATTATGATTTTATAATGCTATTGAAGTAATGAATAAAAATAATAAAAGAAACTTTACTAGCTGTCGCCATCCCCTTCCAGACTTATTTCCTGGCCGTTCTTGATCATTCTCGATAAGCATTAATTTATTGTTATTGTTTGTTTCAGATCAACTAGCAGTGACTAACCATTTACTGGGTGCAAAGTACTGGCAAGGCCATGTGAAAATGAGCAATTACGTTCCCCGGGTGATTGGCATGGAGGGCAAATTTTGAGATGCTTTGAAGTCCTGGTGGCATAGTGGGTAAGGCATTTGACTGTTAATGAAAATGTTAGTGGTTCAAACCCACTAGCAGCTCCGGAGAAGGAAGATGAGCCAAATTACTTCCGTAAAGATTTCGCTGAGTCCGAACCGACTCCATAGCGGTGAGTTTGACTTTTTGAAAGGAGTCTTTACCTCCCTCCCTTCACTTGGTTCTCCATTAACTTATTGCACCCCTTCACGCCCGCTTGGAAGTGCGTAGCTACTTTGCGTACGCATGCGCACTCTAGGCGGCTTGCGCAGGACCACCCCCACCCCACCTCCGCCTGGAAGTCCCGCCTCCCGACACCGACCATTGGGCGGTTCCACCAGCGCAGTCCTGATTGGTGGCCGCCGGCCGGCCTCTCTTCCCATTAAAGTTGGCGGGAAAGTGGTGGCTGCCGCAGCGGGCCCAAATGGCTGCAGAGTCCTCTTCGCCCTCCAGCGGCCCAGCGGGCGTGAGGCTGCCGCGGGCACCGCCGCTCAAGGTGCTGGCGGAGCAGCTACGGCGCGACACAGAAGGCGTCCCGGGCGCGTGGCGGCTGTCGCGGGCGGGCCGCGGGCCGCTGGAGCTGGCGGCCGTTTGGATGCAGGGCACAGTGATGGCGGCAGACGGCGGTGAGGCGCGGCTGCGGGACCCGAGCGGGGCCTTCGCGGTGCGCGGCCTGGAGCGAGTGCCGCGCGGGCGGCCCTGCCTCGCCCCAGGTAACTGGCGGCCGGGCGGGGTCCGGGTGCGGGGCACGCTCCCGGACCGAGGTCACATTCGAACGCCAGAGGCTGGGCACGGCCGTCTCACGGCCGACCCTTGCTTGTGCCGCTCCTCCGCTTGTGCACCCCTCCTTTCTGTCCCACCCCCAGTCCCGCGTTACCCGAATTATCTGATGATATGCCTCACCAGCTCCCAGTTTAAGGGACACAGACAGGTTCCTGGGACGCCCCCAGGAAGTACCAAGGCGCCTGCATTCGTAACAAGCCTCCTTCCCACAGTTGGTTTTTTCCCATCAGGTTGTGGAAATAGTGTGTTGAGAAACTTCCATTTTTTCCTCACGTCCCAACTCAAGTGCCCTTCCTCAGGGAGGCCATCACCCCTGGTGTCCCACCTGCACCCCCTGCCTGGAACGGCCTTGGCTGTGGGGCTCAAACCTGAGCCTGACAGACTCACCGGCAGGCTTGTTCACACCCACGTGAAGGGTTTTAACCCTGGGCTTCTGAGTCTGCAGGTCTGGGTGGGGCTGAGAATGTGTCTTTCTACCAGTGATGCTGGTGCCGCTGGTCCGGGGACCACACTGAGAACCACCCGGCCAGAGCCCGCGCCGTGTCCCGAGCGCCTAACCCGAAGTGGCACTCCCAGAATTCCGGGCACTGAACACGCCCCTCTCAGTCTCCCGCATGCTTATGGGGCGAGTGCTTGTGCCAGGCCAGGCCCCGGGAGGCAGCCAGGACAGGCAGGCCAGGTCTTCCTGGTGGAGCCAGGAGGTGCCCGCTGTTGGAGCGATTGGTCGGAGAGATCGCTGGAGGATGTGAGGTCTAAGGGATGTGTGGGCCCCTGCTCTGTGAGGGACCTTCCTCCCAGCTAGTCTTGGATTCAGACTGGAGTCTGTCGTCTGGCAGGGGCTGCTTGGGACTCAGGCCGGGGTTGAATTCCTGGCTCTGCCCCTTCCCAGCTGCTGCCTACAGCCACTTTATTAAGCTTTCTGGACCTGGATTCCTTCTGTAAAACGGGATAATCATTCCTGCCTGTTGTGCGAAGTGAGTTAAGTAGAAGTGTAATTAGGTAAAAATGAGTTTTTAAATGTCTTTAGCACAGCACCTGGCTCACCTTTGGAAGTGAGGGTTCCAAAAGTGGGACCCTGGGTCTCCAACGTGCTCGCCTTCCCCCACCCCACGCCCCGCGCTTCCGTCCACCTGTCCCGTCCTGCCCTCGTTCCAGTGCTAGGGTGGTATTGGGGTTGACTGGCCGCCTCTTTTCCTACGGCCCACAACTTCAAAATGGTGTTTTATATTTTGACGCGATGGGAAAACAAAATAAGAGTAATAGTTCGTGGCATTCAGATATCCGTATCCATAAGTAAAGTTTTCTTCAGACGTACTTGTTTCCACGTCATCTAGGGCGGCCTTCTTGCTACAGCAGCAGAGTTGAGGCATTGCGACAGAGGCCACATGGCGCGCAACCCGGAAGTACTTACTGATGCCCAGCTCCATCAGCACGCTCCTGATTGGTGGCCGCAGCTGGGCCTCTCCGCCTATTAAAGTTGGCGGGCACGCTGAGGTGGTGGTGGCCACAGCAGACTCAATGGCGGAGGGCGCTTCCTTACAAGTATTTAGTGCCTGGTCCCTCACAGAGAAAGTGTGCCGACCCTTGGTCTGTCCCTTAAGCCGTGCTGCTGTGTGTCGTGGCCCCCAGGCAAAGCTCCTGGAAGGCAATGCGCCGTCTGTGTTTTCGCCCCAGCCCTGGCAGAAGGCCTGGCTGGGATAGGCACTCTGGCTGCCGACTGAGCACTGGTGAGCCCATGTGACTTACCCCCTGGCCTGAGTGCCCGTGGACACGCGCAGTGCCGTTTCTTTGATGAATTAATCCCTGCATTTATCCACTAAGGGTCGACTGGCAAAGCCGACTCACTTCCTTCATGCGCCATAAAGCAAACTCACTGCTGTGGAGTGGGATCCGACTCATAGCAACCCCTCCTTGGGTTTCCGAGGCGGTATCTCTGTGGAAGTAGATTGCCCCATTAAGCCCTAAGGCAGAGTGATCTAAAGGCATAAGCACAGGGCACTGTGGGTGCAGAAGAGAGACAATTGAGGCAGCCTGGAGGAGGGGGCCTGAAGAGGCCTTGGAGTTGGTAAGGTGGCCAGCCAGCCTAGGTTGTATGGGACCGAAGGTCCTGGGACGTGGGACTTTTACTTTGAAAACGGGAACAGTTGGCCACCCTGTGTCTGTGTGCAATAGCAAGAGATTGTCTGGGTCCTTGGAACAGCATGTGCAAAGGCTTGGAGATAACATAAAGTCCAGTGTCTGGGAGCCTGGAGCAGAATATGGGGCAGCCTCCATAGCTGTTAGTGGCACGACTTGCCAGCCTCAAGGTGACCTTTGGCTGAAGTCACGGCCTCCTCTGAACCTCCAGTGTACCTTCTCTGGAGCAGCCAGCACTCTGTCTCTACAAACGTCGTGTGCTGAGGATGTGGGGCTGAGTCATATGCTTCCTGGCCTCAAGTTGCTCCCAGTCTGCAGGGGAGACAGGAGCCAAATCATTATCTAGAACACACTCTGGCCAGCAGTTCCAGAGGCTGGAGCCACCACTGAGAAAGGTCACTGCAGCAATGGAGTGGGGCATGGCTGTGAAGAGGGGGAGACTGGCAGCTGGTAGAAGACTTCAAGGCAAGAGGGGATGAAGGCTAGGCCAGAGAGAGTGGGTAGGTGGGGAAGGGGAGGGGACCTGGTGGGGAGATGCTGGGTGGGTAGGAGGGTAGATAGAATTAATAGAAGTTAGTAACCAGTTCCTGTTTGTGTGTGTGTGTTTGCATGACTACTTGCCCCTGGGTGGTACAAATAATTAACAAGCTCAGCTGCTAGCTGCTGACTGAAAGGTTGGAAGTTCAAGTCTACTCAGAGGCACCTTGGAAGACAGGCCTGGTAATCTAGTTCTGAAAAGTCAGCCATTGAAAACCTTTACTGTTGTTGTTATGTGCCGTCAAGTAGGACCTGACTCACAGTGACCCCTCCTTGGGTTTCCGAGGTAGTATCACTATGGAAGTAGATTTCCCAACCATCCTTCCGAGGAGTGGCTAGTGGGTTTGAACCGCCAGCCTCTTGGTTAGCAGTCAAGTGCCTTAGGCACTACGCTACCAGAGCTGCCTTGAAAACCTTCAGTGAATTACTGAAAGTTCCTGTCTTTGTAGCCACAGTCTTTGTGACTCCCACACAATGGTTGAGTAGGACTGTTCAAATGAGGTGCTTGTGGCCCACCAAGAAAATTGGACAACTTGCTGCTAATGCAAATAAAGTGTATGGAACCTGTGATGCTTAAGATTATGTGTCAGCTTGGCTGGGTTACGATTTTCAGTGTTTTGGCTGTTATACAATGATGTAATTGTCCTCCATTTTGTGATAAATTTTAAATCCTAGCCTCTGTGCCTGTGGTTATGGTCCCATTTGGGAGTGAGACTCAAAGGCACATAACAACAATTATGTTAATGAGGCAGGATTAGGGTGGGATGTATCTTGAGTCACTGCCTTATTAGATCCTTAGTAAAGAAAGCATTCAAAAACCCTATGGAGCACAGTTCAACTGTGACACACAGGGGGTCACCAGGAGTCAGTGTCAGCTCGATGTCAACTGGTTAGTAACTAGTTTGTCTGATTTCAGAGGAAAGAGACACCGACTGAGGCCTGTGAGCTCATCCATCTTTCATAGCACCAGTGGCTGCTAACCTTCCCGTTGGGACCGTTCTTTTTTTGAGGGTTCTGTCTCTACCAGCACTTTAGGGCCATTCAGAGCAGGTGGTACATGTATATTCAGAATGAAGTTTGGCCATTGAGAGACCTGACGTTACTTGCATAAGTAGAGTCGTGAGATGGGTTCAGAGCAGCCGAAAAACATCCTGCCGGGGTTGAAAGCCAGAGGGCTCGGGTATCTACCTGCCTGGCTTCCTTCAGCCAAAGAGCCCCAGGCCCCCAAGCAAGCCCAGCCCTGGTGGATAGAGGCGGCGTGATTACCACAGTTTCAGGGGGGCACGGAGTGGGGGCTGGCCCAGTGCCCGCCCTTCCTGCTGTGTTTGGGGGTTTTAACACAATTGCGTTTTGTGTGGTTAAGACTGGCCAAGTTTTGCTTTCAAGGAGAGCCACTTCCCTAAGGGAATGGGAAGAGAGTCACAGTTAATATGTTATGAGATCATCTCTGTGGCAGCCTGCCTTCTTGTTGATTGGCCTGTGTGTGCCCAGCTAGTGGTTGGGATACAGCGGTGGTGGCAGGCATGGGTCCTGTGCAGTTGGGGTGGGTGGTGTTGGCAGGGGCTGGGGGGATGCTGCCGCCTGCTCGGCTCTTGGCAGCCTTGAGGGAAAACTGGGTTTGCTTTGGGATTTGTCAGGGGATGTCTTTGCAGAAAGAGGGCCCCTCCTGTGCCCCGACCAGCCACATACTCTGGCATTGCACAAGAACAAGGAGTAGAAAGCCTGGATTCGCTGCCCCTGCCCCGGAGCAGCCTGTCCAGGATGGCTCGCTGTGTGAGGTGCTCGCTGTGCCAGGGGTGTCGTTATTCTGTGCGTGACGCTGATAGCTCACTGCGATTTTATTTTACTTTTTAAAACCGGAGTAGATATGTATGTCACCTTCCAAATTGAATGTTTGACATTTGATTTATTGTGTGTGTATACATGCATATATGTGAGATACATAGCTCTGGAGGTGCAGTGCCTAAGGCGTTTGTTTGTTTGACTGCTAACTAGAAGGTTGGTGGTTCAAGCCCTCCAGCTGCTCCATGGAAGGAAGATTGGGCAGTCTGCTTCCATGAAGATTTACCGCCTTGGAAACCCAGTGGGGTCAGTATGAGTCGAAATTGACTCGATGGCAGTGAGTTGGTTTTATATACATATATGAGCCCTGGTGGTGAAGTGATTAAGTGTTCATCTGCTAACCAAAAAGTTGGTGGTTTAAACCCAACTAGCAGTTCTGCAGGAGAACGATCCGGCGGTCTGTTTCTATAAATTCACAGTCAAGAAAACGCTATGGGAGCAGCTTTGCGCTGTCACGTGGGGTCACTGAGTCACAATTGACCTGACAGCACCCAGTGACTGCACTGACTGCGTTTTCTTCGCTCTCTGTTGTGGCCTGTGATAGAGTTGGATTCCCTGCACTGGGTCTGTTGGCTTCGCCGTTTTTTCCCCTTTCCTTCTGTTACTGTGAACATTGACATGGGCTTTTCTTTCTTCTAGGAAAGTACGTGATGGTTATGGGCGTGGTTCAGGCGTGCAGCCCTGAGCCGTGCCTTCAAGCTGTGAAGATGACCGATCTGTCGGATAACCCCGTCCATGAAAGCATGTGGGAACTGGAAGTGGAAGATTTACACAGGCATATTCCTTAGCCGATGCGGGGAGGGTGGCTGAAAGCACCGGACAGCCTGGAGCCGTTTAGATTCTCCTGCCTGTGGGGTCCTTCCACCACGGGCAGGGTGTTTCTGCCGAGGTTCTCAGAGAGCTTTGGTTGATCACGGAGTCCGGAAGTAGGAATGTTTAACCGAGGGTGCTTAGTGAACTCCGCCTGCACTGGCTTGCCTTGACTGTTTGCTGATGAAAAGCAGATGTAGGTTTTTTTTTTTTTTTTTTTTTTGCTTTGTGTGTACTAATTCTTTCTCTCCAGCACACAGAAAACTCCCGCTGCACTTTCCAGATTTTACAAGTGATGACACTTTTTCCATTATTCCTGCAACCTTGTTTTCACAATGCAAAGTCTGAATCCTAGTCGGTGCCCCAGGTGATTAAAGTGTGGGTCCAGCCAGGAGGACAGCCTACATCAGAAAGGACTGACATCAGGCCGCTCCATCCACGACTAGCTTCTCCCATTTGCCACTTAGATGGCATTTTCCAACCTCAGGCCCAGTGGCTGTCTCCAGCCTGCCTTCCTTCCGCTGCAGACATCGCTCAGCCAGTTTGGTCCGTCTGCCTCCCCTCAGCTATGGAACCCTATCCCCTTCATGCAGGCGTGTTGGATTGCTCTCAAGATGTGTTTGTTCTTGGGTGGAATGGAGACCACGACTGAGAGCCACAGCCAGGCCTTCAACTTCCGCCCCTCGCCTTTGCTGAGACCCTGGAGGGACAGCCCCCAGAACGCTGATTCTTTTTTCATGGAGTGATTTTGCCACGCTTACACTGACAGTTGGGTTTCTGTCTCTGGTTCTGGCCCGTGCCTTGTTTTTCTTCCCCACTGTAAACATTAAAGACTTTATGTTCTAGCGTTGCTGCAGTTTGGTGGCATTTCACATTTTAGGGTGTCATGATAAACAGAAGTTAATAATTTCAATATAGCTAGATTCATTAGTTTTTTTATGTCTTGTTGTTATTTTCTTGTTGTTGACAGTAATATACCAGTTCAGTCATTTCTGCATGTGCAGTGCAGTGACTGAATTCAAGGTATGCAGTCACGGTCACCCTCCTTTTCCTAATTGCTCTTGCCCCATGAACATAAACTCACTGTCCCCAAAGCTTCCCAGCTGACCATTGCTTGTTACTGTTGTCAGTTTGAGCCCCAACAAATAGGTCTTTAAAAGAGCCCGGCTCTCAAGGGAGGCATTCTTTACCGAGTAAGCTAAACTACTGCTAAAGTACTGTTCGGTTTGAGGAAGACTCTAGGGGATATTTTTGATTTAAGGTTTAAAGATGATCTCAGGGGATAGTTCAGGGCTTCATCCACCCTGCATGGCTCCAGAAAGTCTAGAATCACACGGATGATTTTCTCTTGAGTTTCTGCGCTGCTTCTTGCCCATGCCTCATTTTTCTTTAGATTGTAAACATGTACCAATGTTGATGTAGAATTTGGTGGCATTTCACATTTAATGGTGTCCAGATAAACAAAAATTCATCATTAGTAATACAAAAACAAAAAACAAACTTACTGCCATTGAGTCACATCTGACTCATAGCAACCACTTCTTGGGTTTCCGAGGCAATATCACTATGGAAGTAGATTGCTCAACCTTCCTTCCAAGGAATGGCTGGTGGGTTTGAACCGCCTGCCTTCTCGTTAGCAGTCAGATGGTTTAAGCACTATGCCACCAGAGCTTCTATTATTTATATAGTTAGATGTATTCATTTTTTTATGACTTGAATTTTTGTTCTATCAGTAACACATTTTTTTAGATGCTGTTTATTTTCAAACAATGGAAATTTTCTTTTAAAGATGGGCAAATTGGAAACTACATTGGTTTTCTTATTGATCTGGGTTTGTTGGAAGTTTGAAGCGTGTTTTGAGTTGGTTTGCATTCAGTTTGAGGTTTTTCAGGCAATACTACTGAGCTAATGAGAGCTTTGCAGTCTACAGATCCGAATTTTATCCTTCATCTGTCTCTAAACTTCCTGTGTGACCATGAGCAAGTTACCTAACCTCTCTGAGAGTCTACCAGCTCATAGGACTGGTGGGAGGTGATAATGCAGATGCGTGTGAATCATTTTTACATAGTGTCTGACACCTGGTAGGTACCCAGTTATCATAGGTGGGATGAAGTAATACCTTGCTTACATCTTTCAGTTGCTTTTATATATATATATATATATATATATTT